TTTGTATGGATTATCTCTGTTCATTTTAAATAATTTAGTAAATTATTAGGAGGGAAATTTGTTAGAAAACAAGCTTTGTGCTGTGGACTGGAAGATAGCTATCTATATATCCAGATTTATATATCAAATCCCTACAGTGCAGATAGAGGCCATTTGGCTCATCGTGTATGCAGTGACCCTCTGAAGGGTATCCTGGCACTGTGAGGCAACAGTGCTAACTACTGTACCACCGTATCATTCTATAAATGTACAGATATATAAAAGAGCGGGAAGACAACATGTCTAGAAAATTAGAGATCAGCCAGCTTTATATAAGCAGTAGGAAAAATAATGGAATCCCTACTTAGAATAGAATAAGGTGTAGAAATGAAAAATATAACAATTAATGCATGAATATCAAAAGGGAAAATCTTACTTGACCAGCCTGATTGAATGTTTTGAGCCCAGAAAATATACATGATATTGCAATAAATATAATTTGCTCAGAGATAGTAAGAAGAACTGCTGATGCTTGGGTCAGAGATAACACGGTGTGGAGCTGGAAATTTCTGAAGAACGGTCCCGACCCGAAACGTCAGCCTTCCTGCTCCTCTGATGCTGCCTGGCCTGCTGTGTTCCTGCAGCTCCACTCTGTGTTATCTCTAAATATAATTGGCCTGGTTTTTCAAATGACCTTAGATAAGATATTCCATAATAAACTGATTGATAAGATTAGAGAGTGTATAGTTAGAGATAAGTAGCAAAATGGATTGCTAACTGGCTTTAAGATGTTGAGTGGGGAAGATTTGAGTGATAAAGAAGGGCTGTATAGGCTAGGACCTTTTCACTGGAGCATAGGAAGTTGTGAGGTGACCTTATAGAGGTTTATAAAATCATGAACAGTAGAGATAGGGTTAATGGTCTGCGTCTTTTACTTAGGGGAATTTCAAGACATGAGGGGCATATTTTTAAGGTGAGAGGAGAGAGATTTAAAAAAGACATGCGGGGCAAATCTTTTACACAGAGTGGTTCGCATGATTTTGAAATGTCTCTGGAATACTAGTTCCCATTCTACTGTCAAGAGGCTGCCTTTCTTCCCAGGTTGTGTTTAGGTCACCACTGGGCACCTGCTGTTCAGAGTTGGAAAGAGCCCTTAATAAATCCCATTATAAAAGTGTTCTCTTTATATGCCGTCTGCCATCAGACCTGCTTGGCTTGGGATGGGGCCATTTTTGAATGCCGCAAAAGACTGCAGAATACCAAGCCATACTCCAGTTCTAAGTTTTCAAGCTTTCAAGGGGAGAGACTATTTCCACTGACTGGGAGTCAAGAATGAATGGGTAAAATCTAAAGATTAAAACCAGACATAGTGGACTGAATTTTCCCAAAAATTGGCAGCGTGCCAATTTTGGCAAGTACCCTCCCACAACTTGCACTGTGAAAGGCACTTCCTGTTGGGCAGTTCTTGACTTGGTGGATGGCTTGGCTATAAAAATGGCAGTGGGTAATCCTGGCACTGGTGAGTACTTCAGCCACTGGCAAGAGGGAAGACAGTGTGAGTGAGGCACCGTACAGGCATGGTGCATAGCTAGTGAGGTGGGCTGTGGTGAATAACATGAAAAAAAACTCGAGATTTTCTCGAGGAGTGAGGGGAACGAAAAAATTCTCCTGAGGGCGCACAAATGACACTTCTTTGCAAATACAAATGTCACATTCATTAATACAACGCTATTTGAGAACGAAACTACAGGTTATGCATACTTAGCATCATCCCATCGGAGAACCCTGTCTAAGGGAGTGATACTCTTTCCCTGATGCCCAGGGTAGTCTCACACCTTCTCATTGAACAATGTGGGGCTATCAGCTACTGGAAAGTTTTCAAATGATTGAAAATGTTCACTTCTGCTCAGCAACAGCAAAAGTGAAGAAAAATCAAATAAACAAAAGCTGTATTTGATTTGGAGAATATGCAGGGACTGCTTGCCTCTCAAGCGCCAACAATTTTACAGTCAACAAATGAGTGATCACTGCACCCAGCTCACATCTATTGGAAATGGGAGTCAATTAAGTCCTGTTGGACTTAGTGTGCCTGACACTACAGTGCTCTATCATGCAGAAGGTAATGTTCCTCTTGCTCATTGTCCTCCTCAGAAGAGTACTGCTAATCTCCAAGCTCTTTAGTGGCCATCATATCCCCTCTGTGGCTGCTCCTGTTGTACACTCTGTCTAGAGTGCCAGACCTCTTGTCCCATCTCTACCCCCGACATCAACGAAAAAAGCAATGTTGCAGATAGAAGCATGTTGGTGAGTACTTTCAGTTCAAGAGTAGAGAAAATCTGGGCCTTTGTGCAGCCTATGAGATCTTGGATTGTCTTTGTGAACTGTGACCTGCAGGGACCATTTTTAAGGTCACCTGTGATCACTTCCAATTCCCAGAGATGACTGTGATCAAACTACAGTGAGCAATGACATGACAAGGTTGATTGTGACCAGGCCTTGTATCCCACACAGTTGGACACTGCATCCACTTCATACATGGGGTACTATGATTACCAATGACCTCAAGCTTCAAGTGAAAGTGCCAGATCAATGCATTTGCCCTTTGAAGGGCCTCACATGAATCACAAGTAGAACCTGTGTTCAGAAAGAAAAGGACATTTATTCCACACCAGGTGCAGTTGCAACTATTTTTCATTTCCATTGCATATGTATAATTTGCATGAGTATGGAAGGCAGGTCATTGTTTGACATAGTGAGTCACAGTCTCAGTCGAGTAATCATGAGGCCCTCCCAAACCTCCATGTGTTTTTGCTTCCCCACACTCCCCGTCAAAGCACATGTTCTACATGTTCCCACGCACCTCTGTCAATTATCACTTCTCCCAACATCAGTTCCTGAGCATCGGCCGTACCACTCAGTCAAGCTAACCATCAAGCTGCACTTCCCCAATGAGGCCAGGATGGCCATGACTGATGACCCTCTGTCCTGTATTAACCCATGTCCTCCAGTGCATTATAGTCCCCCTTTTTCTGTTGAGATTCCCTTTTTGTCCTTTCTGTGTCCCAGCAAGCTGCCTCAAATTGTCAGAACTAACTTCCCCAAGTTTCCTACCACAGCAATAGCTTCTGATAGCCTGCCTTGGCTTTCATTGAACTGACTCCCAGGATTGACCATGGCTTGACCCCTCACCTATTTGAACAGACAACCCCAACTATTCAGTGACTGGGCCTTTGACTGACCTCCGTAAAGCTCCCCAGCTGACTTATCAGTAATCCACAGACCTGTCATGAGGCACTTGCCATGTGGGATAATCATACAGCAAATCCCATTGGGTTTACATGCGGATGCTCCCTTGTCCTCAGAGACTCTGTATGGTTTGATTTGAATGATTTATTGTCCCTTGTATTTTGCAAATAAATACAGTGAAAAGTATAATATGTGGTCACGCTCCGGCCGTTTCCCTTGGAGGGATCTAGCACCATTAAAGAGGGGCCCAGCAAGAAGGAATGTCTCTGCCCTTGCTGTGATCTAGATAAGGACCACAATTGGATTAATTTCTATCAGGCCACCTGAATGTGGCCAAGGCAGTGTTGCCATTGGTTATTGGCAAATAGACAGGCAGGCTGCTGCTGTTACTAAATTCTTCTCAATTAACATCTTTGAAGTGCAGAGACTAGCTTTATGTAAACTTACTGTGAAAGACAATAATGGATTCTATCTGTCCACTATTGGGGAGATCAAAACAAGGACTTTGTTGAAGAACATTTGTTTAAATGATTGTCCTGTCCTCAGTCCTGAATGTAGTGTATAAATTTATATCCATTATCACTCATTTTACATGTGATTTTCACACATCAACAATAATATCACAAAGAAAAAAAATCAATCTATTCATATTATTTGGCACTGCATGTGAATATGTTCCTTCCCTATGAAATAGAAGCAGCCTTTCTAAGATCTAAGCTGATATTCTGTCCCTCATGATTTGGCTAATTGAAAGTCTATTATATTTTGACAAGCTGACTTGCAGGAAGCTTTAAAGTTCATATTGTCTCACCTGACAATTGGCAACAGGAAGTTGAAGAGACAATTGAGACTTGAGCAGTGGAAGGGTTTAACTGAAATTCACAGAGTATGTAGATGACAGTTTATCTCCTTACTGGATACTGTTAATGTTAATATTGCCAGCATCAATTGCAGTGCTCTACTTGGTATTCATGAGAGGTGGAAATCAATTTTAAGTACTAGAGGGAGTTTGTCATGTTGAATCTGGATGCAATTAGACCTCTACTACTTAGCATATGGTTTAAACTGCATTGAGACTTACAACTGAGGTATGGATTTAGACTTGTTGCCATGAGGATCTAAGGGTCAGTAGTATTGTTAGGCACGATGATGGCCTTTTCCTTTTGATGGCACACTGTAGAAGCAGGACTGGACTGCTGCCTGCTCCTTTGACACTCTCATAAACCCAATGCATTTTCATGCATTGGGGAGGTAATTTTGCCTGTGAGGCAGATTTTTATCAGGAGTTCTGCCACGAAGAAGGAGCTTGCAAGTTCTGGAAACTGGAGCAAGGAAAGCTGTTGGTGGAATAGACCCGTGCTGCAATATCAAACCTGAAGGCAAGCAAATGCAGAAAAGAGTTTTAAAGATAGAGAAACATAGTTCTTTTGTAGGCCTCATCCTTCATTAACATAACACGGGGCCTTACCAGTCATTGGACATTTTCTAGCAAATAGCTAGAGAGGGCAGTGAAAATAATGGCAGATGGGAGGAAAATGGAGCAGAAAACTGCGGTCTGTCTATTTAAATTCAGGGAAGGGAAAGCCAACAGTAGTCCCAGAGGAATGGAAGGTCACTGGCCAGATACCATGTGGTATTACAGAGTGAAATCCAGACCTCTGTACATATTTCAGAAACTTTGGTTAAAAATAAATTTCCTAAAGTTTGCTCTGGTTAAATTTTAATCAAGAAACTTTGTGATATAATTCTTACACAAATTATGTTTTTTTTAAAGCAAAGAGAACCTGGAAACACCTGATGATGATGGCTGTACATTGGTACGAAGTACTGAAGGTATAAATTATTCCTTTTTAAGCCTCATCCATCTATGATACAATAAAGTAAAGAGCTGCCCATGGTAAATATTGATATTGTTCTGAATTTACCCAGACACAGCCCAGCAGGAAAGTAGAGAGACAGTTTTGGAAACATCTGTGCAATTGAATACCGAAAACATGTATGATGATAATTCAGAACAAAAAGAAGAAAGAAGTAAACAACTGGACACACAGGTATGAAATAGTCATTCACTGCTCTTTGTGTATTACATTTTGATCCAATTTTACCTTTTTCTCCTTCCCCCAGACATGATCTGTTGTTTTCAGCAAGGAAAGTTGACAAAGGAGTCATTACCTCTTCAACTGCTCAGGCCTAGATTTTCACAGCAGAATTGGTGGTCTCAATGCTGGGAATTCTTTCCCCATTTCCAGCATCAGCTATTTTTGCTGGGGCAGGATAAGTGCGCAGATAGCAATCCCACACCATGTACCCAACATGGCCAGCTCCATTACATGCTTAGGCATATCCCAATTCCCACCCCATACACAATAATCGAGGAAATGGGCCAGCTTCTGGATGAATCAAAGTTCACAACCCCTTAGAGGAGTCGTGACCCATAGTCGGGATTTGGGAAATTTATAAGGGCTATGTTGAAAAGGTCTTACATATGCTCTTCTTTCATAATAAACAAAATGCCTGGCCGTCTGCTTCTACTGAAACATTTCTCAGCTGGCCTCATTATGAATGTTTGGCTGAACTCCAAGACACTCAAACTCATCAGCTCAGCAAGGTGTCCTGTTTTGGCAACCAAGAGAAGTGTTTACTTTTGCTTGATTGCCATCTTTATGTGGTTATAATAAATTATTTTTATTGTGCTCTTCTCTCAATGTTGAAGATTTATTTGGATAATATTAAAGAAATATGAAGTGCTTAAAGCTTCTGTTACTAATACTAAATTTGGCTTACCTGATTGACACATTTACAGAAGGTGCAGATACAGTAGATTTTTATCAAAGAAGATTGTCAAATTGGTGTTTTGTTTCTCAGCATTTCAATACTTGCCATTGTTATTATGTGGACAATGATTCTCCACGTAGAGCAACATTGGTGAATGGGTGTGTAGGGAGCATGGAGGACACATTGGGAGCAATGTGAGTGAGTGGGGGTGAGGGTGGGTGAGGGCTAAAGGATATAATCACTTTTAATGCAATTGGAACAAAGCCCCAGATAACTGAAGAGCCCTTTCTAACCAACTTGACTTGGCACCTGCCATCCATGTGGCTGCCTACAACCTACTTGCTGGGTCAGTGGAATTGACTGTATCCTGTCCCAACCTTTCCTGAATGAAGAATGGAAATAATGGTACCTTCTAAAGTGAAACAGATCTGTCGAGTCAGAAAACCTGGCCAGCTCAAGCTACCCACCTCGGTAGCAAAAATCTAGCCACCAGTTTCTCCGCAACAAAGTGATACGTATCTTGTTTCACCTGATGTTATTCCTGAAAATGTCATAACCCAGACTGAAATTTGGTTTGAAAGATTTTTTTTTAATTTAACAAAGTGATCTTACACTGAAATGCAAACATGCAATGATTGAAATTCAAATTTAACAATAAAATATAACTTTATTAGACAAAAGAAATGAAGATAAAATAGAGGAAAACAAACTATTTACACAAAGTTAAAGATTTTGAACAAAGAGTGAAATACAATCCCATATATTCCAAAAAAGCACTCATTTAACATACTCACACCACAGGTTAGTTCTCTTCTGTGTTGTATCTGGGGAGCTAAATGTAAAAAACACAGAGTATACTGAAAAAACTCAGCATGTCTGGCAGCATCTGTGGAGAGAGAAAAACAGTGTTAACATTTCAAGTCCAGTATGACCCTTCTTCTGAGCTTAATTTTACTGCGGCTTTAATTCTCCCTTTTGAAAATCTGATCATCTCTTCCTAGAACCTTCATAAAGCTAAGCTTTGACTTTCTCAGCATGATGTAAGAATTAGAAATGGATTAGCTTTGTTGTCACATTTACTCAAATGAGTACAGTGAAAAGTGTATAAGTCATCACTTATGGAGCCATCTAATGTACCTAGGTACAAATTCTTAAATTACAAATTCTTAGGGGAAAAAAATTAGAAAAATAAAGAAATAAAACATCCAGCAGAATTATAATCAAACACTTCTGGTCTAGAACTTCTAAACTAAACATGTTACACTGAGATAACCAATTTCTTAAGAGTTCTAAACTTCCTTCTTTTCTCAGGAGCAACTGTTTTACACTTTCATCTTCAGCCAAGACTTCTGCAAACTGCCCAAGCTATAACTGGAAAGCTCTGGGGGTCTCTCATAAACTCCAAAAAAATCCAGAATCCTTTTACAGCTGAATGTACTACACTGTTTATTTTATTTTCTTGTATTCTCTCCTAATGTAAACAAAAAACAATTATTCCCCAGGAAGTCTCTCCAATACTGTATTTAAAAGAAATCACCGTGACTACAGAAATATTTACAAGTTAATCATTAAACCCCCTTAAACACAGATAGATCTTATATACCATTACTTTAAAATTCAAAAATACACTGTAACTGATATTAAAATATATGTCAATCGCACAACTTACATCACAGTGGGCAATCCATGACTGTGAAACTTTCCTATAAAATAGTGAAACACATTAAATGTCATTAATAACAGCTGTTTGTTGAGGTTTTTCAAGTGACATTCAACTGTACTAGGGGTCCAAACAAAGTGAAGATTTTTATCTACTATATGCACATGGAAATACAGCTCGAGAGAGACTGTTCAGTAAGTGAAGATTTCTTTACATCTTACACACCATAGTCCCCCATTTGTCACATGACCATAAACAGTAGAAGACATGATAGCGTTGATGTCTTATTTGGAGGCTGGACCGGTCCTGAGTTAAGTTAAATGCTTAAGTTCTGATGAACAGTCATCTTGAAATATTAACTTGGCTTTCTATCCACAGATGCTGCCAGACCAGCTGTGTTTCTCCAGCAATATCTGTTTATGTTTCAGATCTCCAGTATCTGCAGTTCTTTGTTTTGAGTTAAATGCTTTCCATTTTAATGCTAATCAGGTTCTGCTGTAGCAATGCCCATTGAAGTTTGTAAACAGGTTCCCATTTGCAGTAATTGTCTCTCTTTACTGTTAACGAGTTTCTATATTTAGATACATTATCATGGGCTTGACTCTTCGTGTAGCTAAATGGCTCATGTCTGTGTAGCAGTGTCTGTGCAATTTTGGATTAAGCTTACTTTGGATATGTATTGTTTTACCTTTAAAGCCTCAACTCAGGATCACCCTCGGGCAACCCTCACAGCCTGTGTGGACATTTATATATTTCTCTAGTTGTCTGATTAATTCCTGATTAATAGGCACCCACAATTCCTTCCCTTTCTGAGGCTGTGACCAAGGAAGCCACTATTATTGGTGGTTCTTGGTCCTGGCCCTAGTTTCCAGTGGCCAGTCAGTAAATTAGATTCTAACAGCTAAACTATGTACTTCCCTATGAAACCGCTGCCTGTTTTCCTGCCAGCCTTCAGATAGCATTTTTACCTGGACTCATTGGCATCCATACAGGCAGTGAGCTTCACATTCAGTAGTCTAACCAATATTAACAAGTGCATCACTACAAATACATGGGAATCAATTCTAATCTAAGGATCAGTATCCACCCTAATACCACAGTCCCAAACAGACTGCCATCACTATGCATCTTTCAGTTCAGCTTCACTGGGATTTACTTCCCCTTGGGAAGCAGGTATCTCAGCAAATCCTTGTTAGATCATTGCTTATCTTAATCCATTCCCAACAGGGAGTGCAGATGCTAGTTATCACCGCATGTCTGATTATCAGTGGGGCCCCAGGGATAAAAGCCGAAACTCACGTGTTATTCACTGGATAATGAATATGACTGCACTGGTATGAGTTTCACTAGTGGGCACAAAGTAATCTCCTTCCTCTTCCATCTATGTCATTGGTTCATGGAAAGTGCTGGGCAAAATGGTACGATTTAGGGTGGTATTAAAACTGTACTCATCCCTATCCATAATGAGTGTGGACATTCTCTATACTCAAGCACCAACCTGTATGTTTGGACATGTAAAACTCCTTTATTGCAATCTATTCTCTCCTTGATCTCTGTATTCTTAACTGTTTTGCTGTCATGATGATTTAATTCACATTGAATTTAAAATTCCATTTGAGCATTGCTTTGCTCAAAATCGTTTAGAAGTCAACAAGCTTCTTATAGCTAACAATTGTAATTTATTAATAAACACTGATTTGCACTAAAAATTGTTCCAGCAATTGAAAATCCTAATTTTAAAACCAAATGTTAAAAATGAATCAGTGAGATTTCTCTGTGCTGCTCATGTCCTTTAACACTTCACATTCCTGACTGCAAGTAGCATCACTTGAGTTCTTATAGAACAGGTATTGTTGGATCCATTGTCAACTGACTTGATTCCTCAGAATTGTGGTTGCCAAACATATCAGTAATATTACAGTTTCCATGATCCTGAAAAGAGAGAGCATGGTGGGCACTGGTTGTCACCCATTAGTCCTTATTATCCTTTGTGTTCCCATACTTTTTGATCTGTGACCAGTGTTTCAACTGCCTTTCCTTTCCATATCCCAGTGCAATGTCACTGGGTACCAGGAGCCTTACATTAAAATGCCAAGCCTGATTTTGCAAGGAGGACCTAGCCATTCCTCAATTTTCCTGAGATGGTTGCAAATAGGATAATAATCAATCAGCCTTTGCTTTGGCTACTGCAACTTCCTGGTGCCATGATGAGGTTTCAAGTTATTTTTTTGAGTTGGATATGACCTCCCTCTGAGGTAATGTGCATTCTTGCCTGCTGCAGCCAATCATGTAATAGTGCACTGTTCCAAATGCAAACCTACTTTACAAGTATATATCGATTTGCTTTCCTTCCCCTTTCGGGCTTTAGCTGTGCTACAAATTCTGTGACCTGGCCAACTAGCTTTTAAAAATGATTATCTAAGACCAAACAATGTTCAGGATACTCGGTTTGTTCAAAGTATACATTGTTTGAATAACTCACTGTAATTATTTCATGAAAGCAGACTGTGTGTTTCTTGGGACTCCCTAGGCTACTGGGTTCTCTGGGAGTTGACCACATTGAAATTGCTTGTTATTTAACTTTACTATGAGAATTTGAAATTTAAATATGTAGAG